AGTACTTTTTGTAGACATTTACCATTTGTCTAATTCGTAGAACTTTAGCTACCTGCAAGGCAATATTTATATGTGCTATATATATTTTGCACTGTTTTTACTTTTGTTAATATACACTGTTTATCAGTAAACATAATGTGCGTTATGAATTTTTAAAGAAGGAGATATACATTCTTTAGTGCCTGAAAATTCTGAATGATAAGCTGTTAAGTTACCCTGATATAGAAAAATCTGAAGTTTGCCCCTGGCCAAACTGGCACGGACACAGCTAGCCAAAAACAGACCTTTGTCATCGATTATGGAACAACTGATGGAACAGCACTAGCTCCTGTTTAGTGCTGATGATGCCAGTGATGAAGTAATCTAGACAGGTCTTCACCTTTCAAAGAGATATTCTGCCTGGCATCATCAAAGTACATTCAAACCTTTCCAGGTGTGACATCTGATAATCAGCAACTAGGCTAGATGAAATAATGATAACTGGTTAACTAAAATTATTCAAATTCATTATTTGAACGTACATAACTTTATAGAAAAATAGATGATTTTCTAATCAGTTTAGAGCAATGGATGAAGAGGTAGAGTTTAGACTTTTTTTTTTAAACATTGAGGGTGAATTTCTTATTTTAAAAATAAAATAATTTCTTTATTTTTTTATTCCAATCAGGGTTTCCTTTTTATTAAACTTATTGAGGTCACGTTGTTAATAAAATTATATAGGTTTCAAGTGTACAATTCAATAATACATCATATGTATATTGCATTGTGTGTTCACCACCCAAAGTCAAATTTCCTTCCATCACCGTATATTTGCTCCCCTTTACCCTTATCTACCTCCCCGCTTTCTCCTTTCCCTCTGATAACCATAAAACTTGTCGGTTTCTATGAGTTTTTGTTTGTTTGCCTTGTTCATTTGTTAGTTTCAGTTTTTATATGCTAGGAGTTTAGACATTTTTTAATAATAACAATTCAAAAATAATATCATCAATGTTGTGTAACCCATACGGGTCATCAGAATCAGCATTATCTTTAGTGTGAACATTTGGTTTGCATGGATTTTCCTTCTATGTAAGATTTGTAAGACGTGGCTTTATTGCTAGCTGTATATTTGGATTTTACATGGATGCACCATTGTAAAACTATTGTTGGTGAAATCTAGGCCAGTGTCATCTGAGGTGACTAGATTATAGTGAAAAAAACAAGATCTTTAAAACACATACTGTTTCTGTATTAACACACATATACATTTTGCATAGTTCCCTTCAGAGTTAATTATACTGTTTTAAAACGACAGAAGAACAAAGGATAAAGAAATATAAAGCTACTCAATTGTGGAATCACCCACCCATCTGATTCCAAATTCTAGGAATACCAAACTCTCGTTACTAATATATTGGCGGTCAGAAAAGTTATCTAGAGGAGAATGCTTAAGGCAAAAACCTTCCACTGTCTTTATATTTCTTACGAAATACTGTCATTCTATTTTTTTTCTGTGAATATAAAGAGTAAGTTGCTCCAAAGATGTTCACCTTTATATCCCCACCAAGTCTTTCCCTGCGAAGGCTTACCTGCCACCTGGTTCTATTTTGCTACAATACTTATTAGAGTTTGAAAATCATAACATTCAATTTCCTGCCTTTTCCTTGAATATGCAAACAATACAGCGATTGCAGAATAAAGATTCTTTCATAACCATTAAGAAGGTACTAAATAGAATTCAAACTTGCTGATGGTTCAGTTCTTCTTACTCTTGGGAAACTCTCCAGTTTTGGAAGGTAATCTGTATGCTGACCCATTTTGACCTAAGAAGCTCTTTGTCCCTTATATCTGTCCACCAAATTTCAATACCAAAAGTACTTGATTTTCCTTTCTTCCTACCGTATAGAAGAGATAAATTTCATCCCCAGCCTGATCCACTGAACTGAGTACCTAGAGTAGCCAGTGGGTCTGAAAAACAAATAGTAGTATTCGACCCAGCTTCTTTAGCATCTGTCTTCAAACATCATGTCTAAATGCATCTACAAACAGGCACATTTTTTCTGGAAGCTAGTTTGGTATTATTTCTAACCTGCTCCTGGTACAAACAGAATTTAGCATAATGTATCAACAGCCTTAAAAATCGTCATAGCTTTTGACTATAAGAAAGTAATTTGACATTCAGAAAAGACTTCTTTAAAAAGATATTTATTATGGTATTTTTAATAAATGAAAAATTGAAAATCTTTTACTGCTCAGTGTCCAAGAACAAGAACTGATTAATTTGGTACGGCCGTAAAATGGAATTTTAAGCAACTAAGGTAAGGGTTGATATTCTGGAAGAATTTCTAAAATGGCATATCAAAATTTTCATGCTACAACCCAAAACAAATTTGCACAGACAGTATGATCTGAACCATGTATAAATAATTGAACAAGGGATGAAGATATAAACCCACATATCAACTGGTTATTTTTATTTCTTAGGTTCTAATTTTCTTCCTATACATCTTTCTGTATAATAGAAATTTCCTGTAACAGACATAAATAAAATTTCAAAATTCAGATACAGCAGAAAAATCCCAGCAGAGCAATCGATGCGCTCATGTCTTCGTGTCCACTCTACCTCTTAGGTGAGCCATACACACTGCTCTCTGCTGTTTCGCTTTTGCTAGGAATTTACACTCTCCGTTCTCCTGCCAGAGACAGAACAACTACTGTGGGGCTATGATGAGACTGTGTCACCTGGTCTCTGTTCTTTTTCAGCACACAATGGTTTTGCCGTTTATATTAATCGAGATGAGGACATCACACCATGCATATCCCAGCAGGAGCAGTGGACTCGCCGCCACATGCATCTTCTCTGTTGCCTATATATTATGGTAAGGACAGTGCCTGCTGGGCTTTTGTATTGTATTAGATTTTGCACTGCTAAATTTGGGCACATATTTCATTATGGATATAATCACTAACAGATTCACACTGCGTGCCTCGTTTGGTCCAAGACCTGGGCTTTGTCTCATTTCCCCAGATGCTTATATTTTTAGAAAGTATATGCCAAACCTCACACAACAGGAATTTGTTGAACAATCCCATGTAAGCAGCGGTTCTTCCAAGGCTACATTTTTCAGCTCTTTTTCAAACTAAATGTTTTTCTTGGACACCAGTTTTATTGCTTAAGAGCTTTTTTGCTTGGGATTTTTTTGTTGTTGCTTTTGTTGGGGAGGGGGGAGGTGTAGCGAATGCAAATGAGGACAGAAAAAAATGACCTCTGAGAGAAGTGACTGTAAACTTCATAGGAAACAAGTGAAAATGTATGTTTTCCTGAGTCCATTAAAAACCTATTCCAGAATTAGCTTTTACATATAGCATGCGTTTAATAGTTTTGTTTTTTAAAAATTGGTGTAAATAAATTACAAGAAATCTCCAATTGGTTTATTGGGCACGAATTAATTCCAAGTAGGACATGCCAAATTTATCTGATAACAATTTTTGCCTGATGAATTTATTTCATATTAATTTCAGTTCTTACCATGTTTTAATGTTTCAGAATTATTCATCTTAAGATAGAAAATTTCTTATTTCTCTTTATAATTCTAAATCTTCTTTGATATATTAGCATACACAGAAGAAGTCCTTCCTGCCAGCATTTCTGCCTCTAAGTACTCTCTTGTCCTGAGTTCTAGGTCACCATCCTCCCCCTTTAAGCCTGAAGGGATGAATAACATTCTTCCAAAAACTCCAGAACTATGCTTAATCCCACCAAAATCCTGGGGTGCTGGGGGGAGACCCAGCCTCCAGCCAGCCCAGAAATATAAGGATCAGTCCAATACTTTACATACTTTGCATGAATGATCTCATAATGCCCCAGATCTAAACAAACGGAGTTTGCTTCTAAAAAATCATGCCTTATTACTGGATCCAAGGTGACGTCCAGACTACAGACCCCAGAACAAACGTATATAATGTTTATTCCATCTGCCACTTCATCGACTAGGCAAAGACCGTTCGTGAGCACTGGGGGAATATTTGTTTTCCTAGTCACTTTCTAGATTTTGTCTTTCCACCTAAAACATTAAGTATTAACTTTATCTGATAGGAAAGTTCCAAATGATCAGGGCTCATAAGTGAAGCGTGACTGTGAAATTATGTCTTAAAAGTGAACGTATGTGCTTTATACATATGAACTTGATACTCATATGAACTTGACTCTTACCTTTCAGAAGAGTCATGTGGGGAAGCTACACAATTATTCCAAGGATGCTACAGTGTTCACAACCTACCTGGAACTGACTGACTATAGCATTAATTTAAACATCAAATGTGCTTCTTCCCTCCCTCCAAAAAACACATTCTCCTTACTTTGCACCTGTATTTACTTACCTGTAGGACGGGAATGTTTTTACTCTGGGAACTCTGGGTATTTCTGTGACTTCATTTATGTGCCACTAAATCATCTGAATCTCGTAGAGCACCAGAATTCTCAGGAATGACGTACTTTCCAGTGGCTTTTCTTCCACTGTGGGTACTATCAGTCCACATTCCAAAGAGACACGTGGGAAATACCTCGTAGTCTTCATTATGGACCCCCAAGTCCCTCATTAAAATGAAATATTACTCACGCTTTTCATGCCAAGTGAGGCTTGCCAGCTCTGCATCCTCCCTAAGCAAACCAGTACTTGTTTGGACATGTATTTGCATTAACCAGCAAAATCTCTCAGATGGGTTCTGAGAAAGCTTTCAAAATAGATTTCTTCCTTTGGTGTTCTGCCTTAGGCATTCATAGCTATGCCACGACCTAAACAATGTCCCTCACATCATGTCATATCATATAAACCCAAGGATTTTCATTGTTATCGAAAAGGTACTCTGGCTCTTGCTCCCTTTCAGATTATCTCAGGGCCAGTGTACCAGTGACACAACAGCAAAAGATTCAGGATATGAAATCTTTTGATAGCATACCAGGGTCATGACGGAACATTCCAGAACCTCATGCCAACATGAAAGAAAGCATACCTCGTATTACGTGCTAGTTATAAAATAAAGAGATCTCCCTTCCAATTCTCTGTATGGTTGAGCTGACTCTATACCTCCGAGGCTGTTGGCCAGGCTGGCTGGCTGCTTCGCTCTGTTTCTAGCTTGCTCTCCATTCTCGCAAGTCTCCCTTCCTATCTGAATGGGTTCTCTTCCTAGGTTTGGACAGGAGGCGTTGTGAAAACAAGGGATCCTGAAACTTGCCCTCGCTACCTGGAGCCCATTGAGCTTCCACTCTCAGTGACTCCATCTCCAGCCCCTATCCCAGGCTGGCCCATGCTCAGCATCTTGAAGTCATCCGAAACTCCTTTCATGGCCACTTCTACCTCCTCACACTTCTCTTAACACTCACTCAGGTGTCCAAGACACAAGCATCTCCTTGTCCATTTACGATGGGCTCCTTAACTCCTTTCCTGCACACTTCCTTCCATCATCACTCCCCCCAACATTTCTGTACCCTATTTGTGGGATTTCCCCTAATAAATGAGATGATCCATGTATCTTATACAGGATACAACACAGAGGCCCCCTTGGTGTCGAATGCAATAGCAGTTATCAGGAATTGTAATGAGTGCTGTTCTTTTAAGTGTTGCTGTGCCATTGCTTTTTAAAATAGTATATTATTTAGTTCCCAAGCAGCCCTTTGAGATGGGCATTATCTGGCCTTTTTTACAGGTAAGGAAATTAAAGCTTAGCGAGATCACATGACTTGCCCAAGGAAAAGCCACTGTTTTGTTTTGTTGTTGGCAGAACTATAGTGCAAACCCTGGTGTATGGATGCAGACTCTATACAATTAACCATGCTCTCCACTGCCTCTTACTGTGTGAAGAGTAACTCTGTGGAGTTTTTAGTTTTGTTTTTGCTTTGAAGAAATACATCAGAAGCAGCCATGTCTAGTAGTTAAGGACACTTCCTGGGTTTGCATTCCGAATCCTCCCCTTAACCTTTCTGGACTTTAAGTTATTCAGATGGAAAATAGGAACAAGGATAGTATGTACCTCATGGGACAGTTGTGAGGACTCAGTTACTGTATGCAGACACATAGAACAGTGCCTGGCAC